CAGCAGTGAGGGGTGGGTTTTGCCCATGGTCACAATACCAAAAAGAGGAGTAGCCACTGATATTTGCTGCAGTCAGCACTGAGCAGGTGTGACTGTGCTACACTTCAAAAATCTTTATTGGGAACCAGAGATGGATTCTGGTTATCAGGTGTGGTTTCTAATGTGTCTTTGACTCATCTCCTATAGCTTTCTACTCTCTCATTTTAATTCTTTTGTGGTTGGCATTAAGCTGATCAGACTAATTAGTGCTATACATTTTCTACATCTCTATATATAATATATATTAATTTATTTTAAGAAAGCAAGCATTAAGTCCTTCAGTGGCAAATACATTCTAGTATCAGGAATCATTTACATGAAGCATTGTGTTTCCGCAGTGAAAGCATATTTCTTTCAAAACTTGGGATTAAAAACAAATGCTTACAAGATAGCTATCAGACTTAACATCATATTTCCACAGATTTTAGTCAGTTGCAGCCAGTCAAATTCAAAGTCATAAATTAACTTAATACATTAGATGTGGTTTGGTTTATTTCCAGGGGGAGATGTTTATTCAGTGTACTGTAAACAGTGTGGTATTAAAAGGGCAAAGGAAACACCACTGTAATACATTTCAGAAATGTATATAAATCCATTCAACAAAAATAGGGGTTTTGTAAGGCATGGATTAGTTCTGTTAATGGGCAGACTTTCGCCTTTTGAATTTATTGTAAGGACAGCTTGGAATTATGTACTTTTTTTCCTTCATATGAAATACCTTTTGTTACATTTATCAATGGCTTAGTTAAATTCTTCCTCATGAAGACAACCAGGACCAAATACCTCTTCTACCTAACATTTTAGAAATGTTGACTTCTCAATCGCAGCTTCTTGTCTTTCCTGGTTTTCTGGCACGGTTTGCTTTATGTCTTATGTTCCCAGGTTAGCGACCTGGCGGGGCGGGGGAAAGAAGAGAGGTGTCAGGTAGATACCATCTTTGGAAGTCATCACATTGTTTCTTTTTTAGTGGGTGGGGTGGGAAATGGATTATATCAGAGGTTGCATTTTGTGGCATGACCTAATTAATTTACAGAAGTGTCAGTGAACTGCACTGGAACACTGGTTGAACTAAGAGGTCTCTGCATGAGGTAGGACTTTTTGGTTTCTTACCATCTCTCTTGTGATTGATTGTACTCTTTTGTTTTTTTTCCTTGTTGTTCCTCTGCTAGTGAGTAGCATGGTGTCCTTAGCGTTAAGGAGGAAGGAGGAGGGAAAGAAAAAGCCTGTGGAAGAAAGGCATGTCAAATGGTGAATACAAAAGTGGAAACAATGACGTAGTCCCTGGCAATTGGGAGAACCATATCCCAGAGCTACAAAAAGGACAGAATAAATGGTAGCAAGGGAGGGGTGGTTACCAGTCCTTAGACTTTTTTCAAAGCAAGGTAAAACCTGTCATGATTCAAATTGCTAAATATACGGATAGTATTCTAACATGGGGGTTATGCTGACAAGTGAGGACCCTTGTTCGAGGACACAGATTATGGGTAAACAAAAGAAGTATTTCTACCACTTTTATTTGAGGCTTCTTAACTGACTTGTGTAGCAAGAATTTTCCAATATTACTTTTTGTTGGGTTCATGCTTTACATTGGCATGAAGGAATCTGTGGCTGTGCTTACAATCCAACTCTGCTGTACTTTTCTGCATTTTTGATATCTGCTTTTAAAAGCTTTGACAAATCAATCTTTAAGAGAGTTAAAAGTCAAACTGATAAGGGAAGAAAATGACTAATTTTGGTTTATGAGATCAAGGTGGTGATCAGATTTCCATGTGAAGTCTACAAAGTTTACAACATTTTGTTAAGATGGGACAAATATATCCCACTAGCTAATAATTTTTTATGTAGGGTCTGTAAATGTATCTAAAACAGCTACACTGAGAAAGCTAAGACAAGTACACACATCCCAGAATTACTCTAAATCAGGTCATTATTTAAATGCCATTTAAAAATGTAATTCTAGAAGAAAACCAACCAGTCTAATATTTGCTAAGTAAGTGCATCAAAAGGACATCTTGTTACAAAGAATACATCCTTCAGCTAACAGTGTTTCCTCTGCTGGAAACATTCGTACATAGGTTCATAAACCAACAAAAATGGTTTAACATTTCAGCTTTGTTGCTATTTCTCCCTTTTTGCTTTTTTTTTTATTTTTCAGAAATTTGTCTGAGAATAGGACTTGTCGTTGTTCAGAATTTAATCTATGCCATTTTATTCCTTCCTTAACATAGAATCTTCTGTTCATAGTTTGTCCTAAACAACTAATTGATTGCAAGGGAGGGAAAAAAACAGCAGAAACAGATGAAGCTTGAAGTAACACAGGTTCTTGGCTTCATTTAAATGCTTCAACATATATTACCAAAAAAGCGAGGGGAGAAAAGACAGAAATATGGTAGACTTAACTGAGCTTCAAAGTTTTCATGAGGAGTTATAAAGTCTTTGAAAGCAGGAAGTTTTTTTCAGTCTACATGATAACCTTTTAAGATGCATAGTAAATACAAAATAGTCTAACTGCGTGTATAATCTGTTAAGTTTTAGAGTACAACTTTGCTGGCCATCTCTCTTCTCTTTTAGCTGTTTCCTATTTTAGGTATCTCCAGGCAGCTTCCTGATTCATACGAGTGGTGCTTCCTTTCTCAAAATTCCTCTTTTGCATGTTTCTCAGCAAGAGAAGCTAATTTGACTGTTGAAAACAGCAAATTCACATAGAAGAAAATCCCTCCTGCTGTTCTGAAAATGCAAGCTCAAAAAAATTTTCTTCTACTCAGTGTTTCATGTGACGTGTGGGGTTTATGATAATGTGCTAGCTCTCCTGTCTCCCTTTGTTTAGGCTTTTAAAAACCAGTCTTTGGCCAGGATTATTAGAAGAAGGGAATGTCATTTGTTGTTATGCCAGGCATGGATTTACTGGGAAAGCTTTAGCTCTGTGCTATGCACAGCAAGTGGGGATAGCACTGCTACGTTGCATCATGTGATTGCAGCTGTATAGCCTCCATTTGAGACTGGGAGCTCTGTATATGAGCAAGTCTACTCAAGTTTGTGCAGACAGATGTGAGCTTAACTCTGTCAACTGTCAGAGTGAGTCAGTCTGAACTGGCTAGTTATTCTGACCTGTTGCCATTCATGTGATGTTGCTCCCAAGCTAAGACATCCTGGGTCTACATCTTTCCATATACGTGCCCTGTGAATGCAGTATCCTGACGTTCTGCAACACCAAATCCATCTTTTAAGATCTTGCCCCTACATAAAAATTGTATTACAACAATACATTCATAGCTCTCCACAGTTCTCTAACCCAGATGCATTCATATCAGAGTAAATTTTTACTCTCTAGGCAAGGGTAAGTCATGTGAATAGTGTATAAAGTTATGCACTCTGGAGTTTGTTGCCTTGTTATTACGTTAGTAAAAACTCACCATACCTATATAGACCCTATCTTGGGCAAAAAGGTAAATTAAAGAATGGCATAAGCCAATGTCTAACAGCCTACCAAAGAAACTTCTCTTGGAGAAAAAACTATCCCATAATAACGTATTACAAGATTTCAACTTTCTATTAACTTGGAAGTAACTTATGGACATTGTCACACAGTTTGGGTGGTTTAACTAACTGAACCTCTGACTTTATCTAGTTGGCAGTTATTGCCATTCACCATTTTTACTTATGTACTGAAATATCTAGACAACAGAAAGGATTAATTTGCAGGCAAAGCCTTTATCATACAAGTAAACAGTTGTGGGCAGGCAGAAGCAAGTTTGCTCCTCCCATGCTTCTAGCCTGGAGAATATGATTCAGCTCAAAGTTAGAAGTCCTTTAGAAGTGTTGTCATGGAACACTGCTCAATCTGGTAAATCTAGGCACTAATTTATGCTGCTAAGCAGAAGCTGGGCTGATACCACCCACCAGTTCACAACTAGCTATAGTTAACTGCAAGGACGTCTCCAAAGAATAGCTGTATGCTTAGAGAACCAGGTCAGTGCATAGAATAAGTTTTACTGGTTTAAGCTCTTTTCTCTACAGCCCAGCAGTAAAAGAAATTATCAGTTAATTTTAACTGTGGGTGGCATCAGGGATCGTGCAGACACAACCTGTCATGGTTTCACAGCCAGCTTTCGACCAGACAGGAAATTACTGTCAGTAAAGCTGGAGTGCGGTATTGCTTATTTCGTTCTTTGTTCCGCTTGATGTCTGGATTATAAGAAAATATTTGTTGAGCTAAAGCTCTGTTATACACGGAAGGGATACTTCAAAGTTGTTCTGTATTGACATTGGGTACTGTGCTATATTGCAGGGTCTTAGTTATGTTTTGTTTAGAATTACTAAAACCACTTTGATCTTCACCTACCTCTTTTTCCCACAATTCTTTATTCAACTCATCCACTTAAAATTTTTTATTCTTCTCTTGTCATGCTCTCAGGTAGTCCCTAATTCTTTCAAGGATGGCCCCCCCCCGCCATGTGACAAAGCCTGTTTTCAGTTCTTCAGCTCCTGTTTCTGCCACATTTGATACAAAACCTTTCTTTGAATCTTCAAAAAGTTTCTAGGCTAGAACTTCAAACACTCACTGACTAGGTCTGAGTTTTGTAGTAAGAATACAGCAGAGAACTACCACCACATTGGTTTGAGTTTTGGTTTTTCTTACTATTTTCTTTTATGGTGCAATTTAATTGCAGCTTGATTATATTGTTTCCACCTTGAAGGAAACAATATAGACAGTCAAGCTGAGAACAAGGTTTGTAAGAATAAGCCTCTTCTTTTATCTTAAAGCTGTTTGTAGCAGAATATTTTTCCAACCAGAAGCTATAGAAATTCAGATGTACTATTTATAATGTATTGATTGCACCTCCTTCTGTAGTTGCTGTTAAGCAATTTGCTATACATACCTCTCCTTGCTCCAGCAGCACTCTATATTTAACTCACATGCCTAGGTCTTGTTTCTACAACTTCTGCACTGGCTGTAGCATGCCACGTTGGAGCTGAAAAAAGAACTAAATCCCTTGGGCCAAATTCATTCCCGGAGTTGCTTGATTGAACGCAGTGCATTTACACTGAGCACAGATTTGGCTCATACCTGACTTTGTCAGCATTCACTGTGCTGTAACTAAGTAACAAGAACACTCTCATTAGGGGACAGATGAATAGCTTTCTCTAAGGTTATTAGAGCACTGAGCACCTTTAAGGAGTGCAGAAATCTGTGAAAGGAGGAGTTGGGGAAAAGGACACTGCTCCTTTTAGAGTCTGTGTAACAGAACTGATAAGCTATTCCTGTGATGTGATCGAATGTGACAATACTGCAGGCTCTTGGACTCTTATTCTATAAAATCCACATCAGAGCAGCACAGGAAAAGATCGGAGGGAACAGCTTCTGCTGTACTGAGAAAGGTACATATTTATATTTTCTTATTTCTTAGACTTGACATGATTTGTTATCTTAGATAATGTCACTATTTTAAACAGTGGTGAATATGAAACAAGTGGTGTTTTCCACATTCTGACTGGTACTCATTGTTAGGAAGTCAGTCTGTGAGCAGCTTTCACAGAGAAAAAGTAGGACATATTTGTGTGTCATGCATTTGTACTGTATTGTAAACCTTGACAGTTGAAAGAAGCGAGATGAGATAACCCCAACTAAATTGAAAATGTAATTTATGGCTGTAAGTATGCTGGAATTTGGTACTCATTTGTATTCAGTAAAAAGCTGAATGCAAGTCAAGCTTCAGTTCAGTCATATTTGTCTGAATAGCTGCTTTTATAAATGTGTTGCTGCAGCTGTATTTTATGGAGGTTTTCATTCTCAAGAGGGAGTTCTGCTACAGCAAAATGTCTGTGAAGAACAGACAAAAAGCTAGTACTTTTGCTTGCTAGCCCTGTTGCTGCTTATAGAGTATCTTTCTGATGCCCTTTATGGACATTCTTTACCTTCTGTCCTTTAAAAACAAACTCATATTTACGAATACTGTCAAACCACAAGTCATACCGGTGATCTCTATAAACAACCTTTACTTCATCTCTGCACTTAAGCTTACTTTTTTCTGCTTACTCAGCCATGGACTCCTCTAACAAAGCCCTCAGGTTCAGAATCTCATGCATTTGCACAGCACTGCAGTATTTAAATGCAAAAGAAGAAATTCCTGATTTACAGCTTTAGTTTGCATCAGTGGAAAAAGAGTTTAACCACATTAACACTGCAAACAATTTACTTGTCACTCAAGTTTAGCAATATTTCTTAGCAGCCTGCAGCTGGTATCAGGTTTATCTCTGCCAGTCCCACACTATTGTCTTTCAGCATTCCTTCAGGATCACTGGAGTTAGAACTGACTGGGAATTTTCTGAAAAAACATAATTTTGGCAGTAGTCGTTGAAACCAGATCTTAATGTGTGAGGCCAGCCAGTTTTGCTAAAACTCTCTCAGGAGAGATTTCTCAGAAAGCAATTTCTAGCTGAAGTAACAGACACTATGCCAACTCCAGCTACTTTTCTGGGGCGGGCATTCACTCAGGATTCGAGACCGAGGTCTCATGCCCTGCTCTGTCTCAGTTAGGCTGCCTCTTCCCACGCAGTGCTTTGGTTACCTGCTGTCCTGTGGTGGATCCCACCTTGCCTGGCCTGTTAGAGCTGTTCATTTCCATAGAAATAAGCCATCGTTTCAGCAGCAATTGCCTTCCTACTCTTTCAGATCCCTCAGTGGGTGTCCTCACTATCAAGTTTCAGTCGTGCACTCCCCCTGGCCTGAAGAGCAGCTTGTGGAGAGCAGAAAGCTGTGATGGGAGAGAGACAGATTTACACTAGATTAGCTGGCAGCCTTGGAAGCAGGACAGGAGCACACAGTGGGGATTTGGGACACTGAGGATTCAGCCCTTGATCTTTGTGATATAGAGAATGTGAAATAGATCTGTCATAGGTGATTATGCTAAGGACAACATTTGGTCTTTCCTCTTCCAGCCCTTTCTCCCTACCTACATTTGGGGCAAAATCATTCAATAGGAGCTTGTTTTACCTCCTGGGAAGCATGAAAATCTCAGCTGAGAAAACTTTTTACAGACCAGCTCTTAGTGTGCTGACAGGGCAGAGCACTTTCTACTTTTAGCAGTCTACTGCCTCCCAGGTGGGATTTGTACAATTCAGCTGAGCTACGCCAACCACTGGCCTCAAATGCTAGTACAAATAGTACAAATGCATCTACAGTTCTGGAGTGGGAATAAGGACTATTAGAAACAAATGCTTCCTGGGGGTACCTGAAACGATCTTATTCCTGAAAAGCTGTCTTTGCTCAAGGCCCAGTAAAATGCATTTCTTATCCTTGAAGAATTTTCTCACCCCAAACACTCATGCAGTGTGTTCACTTGGCCAGTCTGGATCAGAACGCTGCAGATCCACGAGGACCTGCTTGTTGAATAGAGATAAGGCCTGTCTGTGTGGCCAGTTTATTCTAAACCCCGCTCTTCTTTATGGGGCACATAACCATAATATAAACCTTTTCCTTTGGGTGATAACACAGAATACCACTTAGACAATGGCTACTGTGAAGGGAGTTTTAAGTGGGTAGCAATTATCCTAGTGGAAATCTATCTGGGGAGAATGGATTTAAACACCCTTATGAAGCTTAGTTGATGGGGCTCCCTAGTAGGCAATAGGCACTTTTCTGTTCTTTCCTTTCATTCAGTAAGAAGAAACATGTATTTGTTTCCTTTCAACCTGAGAAGAGGGAAAAAGAAAAGACAAAAGGCGGGGGGGGGGGGGGGAAGTAATCATCAGAACTTTGCATTTATAGAAGTCTGAATTTTTGTAGTCATGGTAGTGAAGCTAAATTGTAGTAACTTGAAAAAACTAGGAAGAGGGAAATTTAGATTTCATGCAAGAAATACTTAGTCAAAAATTATATGAAGCCTGTTCAGCTTGTTTTCATGATGTCAGTGGAAAATCTGAATGTGAAACTCCCAGACTAAGTTTCCATTGAAATACAAGCTATTCACATTTGGCAATATGCTGATTATTCTTCACAGCGTTGCACTCATCTGAAAATACATAAACAATAACGAAAGAATAGGAGGTAAAAAGATTTTTTTTTTGACCTTTAAAAGTACTAAAATATGAAGCTGTTGAATTGCGTTGCCTACAGCAACAGGATACAATGTGTTTGGCAGAAGTCAGTTTAGACTTTCTGACCAAAATACTCTGCCTTTCTTCCTCTGAGGAAAGATCAAGAAAAGCAAAATGCCACAAAACAGAGATTGCCTCATTCAAGACAGCATAGGACAAAGAGTCAGGAACTCCAATCCCAGTCCTGGCACAGCACAGATCTCCTCTGGCCTAGTGCAGAGCAACAGACATTGTTAAAATATGTGTAGAAATGTGCTGACTCTTCTGCATTGTTTCTGTGATGCTTCTTAAACAGCTAATATATCCTTACTAATATGCAAATCCTCTGCATACTTTAGTGCATGAGATACTTAAAGGCATGATTTCAGCAGAAGCTTTTAAAGAGTTTGAACATAAACCTTTTTAACCCTTTTCTAAAAATAGGGGGTACACCTACCTCCTTCACACAGGTACATGTATGGGAGGGTTTAATTTGTTAATTTGTATGGCCTTTGTAAAACATTACATGAATAACATTATTCTCTCTGCAGATTTAGCAGCAGTGTCTCTGCGATGACTTAGGCCCCGTTGTCCCCAGGCACGCTACTACTGTAGACCATTTCTATTATCCTCAATACCATCAACCTTCTTTTGTGAAAAAAGGTTGAATGGTATAAATTTACCAAGCACTCCCCATTCACCAGGTTATGTCAGCTAATAAAGTCTAAATTAGATTCTAAACCCTTTAGCGTCAGAATGCTAAAGTATGTCTGGATGCTTGGAGACTCGTAATAAACTCTTAAACGACCAACCAGTACTTGGCAGTTAGATTAAATGCATGAAAAATTATAGCAAGATTGGATGTAACGTCATCTTTCCTCAAAGGCCTGATTTGTCAGCAGGCTGAAATCACTTAAGGAAAGTGAAGCATCGTTTGTCTCCACATTTTCTCTGATGTTCATAAACTCAAGAATAATAATGTCACATAGGCGTTTGCTTCTTGGTATCCCAAAATTGATCTCTTTAGTAAATGCAGATAAAATCACTTTGCCTTTCCTCAGATGTTATCCATATATCCATAGCAGGGACTTTTCTGACAAAGGTTAATTCAGCTTTGCACCACCTTGAAAGTTACAGAAGTAGCAGTAACTTTAACTTACTCTTGTGGCAAGAAAGATGTAGGTAAGACAGCTCACCCAAGATCAGATCAGAAAAATACTGCCAAAATGAGACTCAAACGTAAGTCCCCTGACTCAGGATCACAAAGTTTATTCTCATTCCAGTCCTGGAGAATAGCAGTCTAATGTACATGCTGTCTTTGTAGAAGAGCTTTTTTGTGATTATGTTTAGGACTTCATTTTCAGTACAAAGCAAAGCAATATCAGTTTATCCAAGCTAAAATTGTAATGAGAGGTTCTGTAATTAGGCTTATAAGGATTCACCTTTATTAGAAAAATGTTCTAGCCAACAGTTTTCAACCTTCCAAGTATTTTAATACCTGTCAGCTCTTATTTTTGCATTTGTAGGAAATGAGGTCTTGTTAATTACTCATAATGTAATGAACTAAGCTTCAGAACAGTTAAATAATCAAATTTGATATTTTTTTAATCCACTGTGTGACACTCACTAAAGCATATGTCCTTATTAAAACTCAGAGCATTTAAAGGTGCTTACTTTCAACATGTTTATTTTTCTTCTCAGTAAATATAAGTTTTTAGCAGAGGGAGATTGTTTTGGAATCTGAGAGAGAAACAGCAGCAATCAGTAGTTTAGATCAAATCTCTGTACACCTTCCTTTAACAGTGTTATGAAAACTTCATACAGTTTTTATGAAACGCTGAGAAAAATCTCAATTTGAATTTATCTGGTTACTTGGAGTTACCTTAAAAAATTGATGTTACCAATTGTTCTAATCCTTATTTTTTCACTTCAGGGAATTCTAAGACCAATTATTTTTTAACGGTACTTGGAAAAATTTACGAGAAGGACTGATAAATAGCATTACTGAAAGATCCTTTTTCTAACCTTTGGTGAAATGGCTGGAGTCACCTGTACAAGAATAAAGAACAGGATGTATTGTTCTGTGCTCCATCACATGGGCATTTTTGTTTTTAGAAAAACTGGAGATCATGTAATAGTAAGGGGGAAGTGAATCCCCTAACTTAACAACTACTGCCATAATAATAGATCCCTAAGCCTGAGCCAGTCTCTTGAGGCTACTTTTACAACCATTGGAATGACTTACGTATTTTGTCTTCAAGGGCAGGTAAGCCGGGACAGCAGATTCCCACAATTTGTGTTCG